CAGCGTACCGGGAATACAGAAGCTTCACCGGCTTTGCAACTTGTCCGTACCTCGCTCTAAAATTAGGATATGACTCTAACAGAAAAAAAGCTACGCGAAGCGCACGCTTCCCAGAAGATTCAGAAGACTCAGAGAGAATAGGGTTTCGTAATAGTTTATATACAGTTCAATCAATATCAAAGCGGTAAAAAGCGACATTTAGCACATTGGGCCCAAACATGTAATATTAAAGAATCACAAGAAAGCCAAGCATAACAGTTATTCTAAGCTCGAATTCTGAACCCTGAATCAGAGATTCTAGGTTCGTTTCCCCAGCAGAGTCGCTAGAGCTGTCACACCTCCTTTTTCCCGAGGGGATAGGGGAGTTTTTTCAATTTAAGTGACATTATTCGAAATGAAATTATTTATTTATACAGAGTCGCCACTTAAAATAATTTATGGTGTCCCAAGTCACCGGTTTATTTTAGAATCCCAAATCGAGGAAATTTGACTCTTATTTTTGGTCCGCGAACACAGAAGATCGGGTAAGAAATTCTGTTAACCTGGGAGAAGGTGTGAGGCACTCCCAAGTTCCGTGATTTTAGCACGGTCGCTTAACAATTAATATTTAGCGTAATTATCTGATTTATTACATGTTTTAAACCTATTGTGCATTTTTGTCTTTTATCGCTTTTTAATATTTATGGAACTTATTTGAACAAGTCGCGATGTCGCAAGCTCATTTGTTTTTGTATATATTGCGAACCGCGTCACGTGAAAACGCACCCGCGATTTACAACATATTTATTATTATTATTATTCGAAGTTGAAGTCAAGTCGCGTGAAACGCGCACTTGAGTTGGGGTGTACGTATCGTGACCATGCCACAGGAAGCATACCCATAGTCATGATGATTTATTAATCGTGCCTAAAGCAACTAGCACATGTTCATGATTTGTTTTTCCTTACGGGTTTGAGATTTGTGTAAGGTCAAGAGCTATGAAAATTAATTGTGAAAAATGGGTCAGCTTTTGCTCTTACTAAATTGGGCCTGACAGAAACTATTTTGGACCAGATAAATTAAACTGGATCGTTGTACAATTTGCCCTTTAAAGCCAATTAATGAGTATGCCCAGATACTAGTTCATCAAGTTACTCCCTTATTAACTAGTCAATTGCAGTAGTATATGTTTCATTAAGCACAACCCAACCACCAGGCCCAATCATTTTTTTTTTAAGTCCAACCCTCATTTTTTTAATTTCAACTAGGAGACATAGATTTTATCCCCAAAGTTCAAACATTCACTATGTGTCCAAAAATTATTTTTTTATAAATCTTCATGTTAATCATCAAGAAAGTAGCAAAATTTAACAAAAGCTAATGAGACCTAACAATTAATACAAAAAAAATAAAAATTTAATCTTCATGAATCTAAATAAGATCTATATTCAAGCATAATGTCTTAATAAAACAATGATGAGATAAATGGACATTTACAAGACTGTTTTGAAGCTCGGAGAATGGACAAGGATGTAAATGGAGCCTCGACCAAAATCGACAAATGGAGCTCGAACTCGACGACTCAACTTTGGAGCTGTTATTTTCTATACAAAAAGGGACTGTTTCACTGGATTTTCGGCTCGTTTTTGTGGTGCTTTTTAGCTTGGTTTCCAGTTGGTTTGGGGCTGGAGTTTAGGTGATGAATTGCTGGATTTTTTGAAAGAAAGCCGAAGAAAGAATGACACGAGTAGAAATTTCCTTATCCTAGAAGAAGAAAATAATTTTTTCTCAATTCCTTCCTCCCTATTTTTTGCTTTCTCTCCTATTTTTTCCTTTCTCTCTCTCTTTTTTTTCATCGCATTTCTCTTCTATTTATAGAATTTTTTTTTTAAAATTTTCAGATTTTTTTTTTTTTAATTAAAAAGAATTTTCACTTCCCATTTTTCTTATTTTTTTTTTTAAAAATAATTCCCCACTTTCCTTTACTTTTATTTTTTAATTTCTCACTTTTTTTTACTTTTAATATATTTAAAATCCCATTTTTTACTTTCTTTTTTTATTTCCCACTTATTTTACTTTCTTTTTTTTATTTCCCACTTACTTTTACTTTTTTTTTAAAAAAAAAAATCAGATACCCTTACTTTTATTTTTTAATTCCAACTTTATTTTACTTTTTATTTTTTAAATTTCCACATTCTTTTACTTTTATTTTTTTAATTTTCCACTTTCTTTTAATTTTTTTAATTAAACAATTTCTACCTACTTTTACTTTTACTTTTTAATTTTATATTTCTACTTTTCCTATTTTTTAATTCCCATCCGAATTTTCTTTTTTCTTTTTTAAAAAAATAATTTTTATTTCTTTTCTTTTTTTAATTCATTTTATTTAAAAATAAAGATAAAAATAATAATAAAAATAATACTAATAGTAATAATTTACCTTTTAAATTATTAATAATATTTTCTATATATATATATATATATATATATATATATAAGTGTAACAAAGCTAAAAAAAAATATATATTAAATTCTTAAAATATTTACATAGTAGAAGGTGATAAAAATTTAAATATAGTCAAAAATTAGGTGCTCACAAGTATTATAAATAGCTATGTAATATGATTTAGCCACAAATACACTAATTCCAAAATAACACCTAAACTCATTATAAAATAAAATTTTATATCTTTAATATTTTAAATAAAAATATAAGAGTTTAGTGATTAATTAAATATACAATCAATATATTCGTTTTTGCGGTACTAATAATAATTATTTTATATTGGATTTTTTATTCTAAATTATTTTTGAGAAGTAACACACACACTTGAGGATGGGGATAAAAGACATAATAAAATTGTTACTCAATTCAGTGCAATTTATTTGCAGTTTAAGCCTTTAAATTTTTAGTTGAACACTTGGCAAAAGTACTCGAGCTTATATTAGTGGAGGTGGTTCCATCTCACGAGGGTGACGAAATATGAGAGTATTTGTTTTCTACTCATCATCTCATGTTACATAATGGTATTTGATTTGATGCGACTTTGATATAGTAACATGATTTATACATTACATTAGTGGTATTATCCACACACAAAAATGAGTTGTTGAAGAAGTTGGATACAACAAATCATATTAATGTTTCAAATTTAAATTATATAATGAGTTGAAATTATTTAATGATGCAAAATGTTGTGGATCGTACGAGAATACGAACTAATGTCATGTAAAACATGATCATAGAGTATTTTTATGCACTATTGACGTAAACAAAATCGCACAATTAAATTAAATTAAAAAATATTACAATTAAATTTATTTAATAAATATTAATTAAATTAAATTATAACAATGGTATAAAATCACAGTGCAATACTTTTATTTGTTTCTCATCCGGTGTCCGGTATCCATATTGGGGCCCGACGAAATTCTAATTCCTAACAAAGGCGACTTCATACCTAGGGACTCGAATCCGATCTCTGGTTAAGGATGAATTAGTACTTACCATTCCACCACAATCATTGTTGGTGGCAGTGCAATATCAATACTTAAATTCTTATATTCAAATCATTGGGTATTTATTTATTAAACTTATGAAGAAACCTCTAATATATCTATCTTTGTGAAAAATAAATGAAAGAGTATGCAAGAGCAGAAAAAGGAAAGAAAGAGAAGAAAACTGCTTTTATCATCTTCCTCTTCCCAACAAACTGAAACTCACTGAGTACAAAAAAAAAAAACAGAAGAGAAGAGAAGAGAATAGCAGAAATATTGTTTGGAGAAGAAGAAAAGATGTTGTTTCAAGTGGGAGGACAAGGAACACGTCCCACCTTCTTCGAAATGGCAGCTGCTCAGCAGTTACCTTCTAGTCTCCGAGCCGCTTTAACTTATTCACTCGGTGTAAGTAACCAATTAGGGTTTCTAATTTCTAATCCATCTATTTCGGCTGTATTTATAACTCATAAGAGATAAATTGTGTAATGGGTATTTAGTATTTTTATAGCGGAAATCATATATTCAACCATCTTGGAGTTGAGGCGTAGTTTTTGTTAATACCGTTCAGCTCTACTTAGTAGATGTATTTTAGTTCTTAAAAGAAAAATTATTAGTATTGGAATGAAATGGGTCAAAATGGAGTGTAATGAATATTGAGGATTTATTTTGCGGAACTCTACTAGTTTGGCATTGAGGTGATGTTTTTATTATTACTGTTCTGCTGTACTTATTAGATGTATCTTAAAGACAAATAATAAGTATTGTAATGAGAAGGTCCAAGTGGAATGTAATGAATACTGAGGATTTATATAGCGGAATCCAACTAGTTTGGAATTGGGGCTTAGTATTTGTTATTGTTGTGCAACTGTGCTTATTAGACGTGCCTTAAAAGAAAAATTATAAGTATTGAAATAAAAAGGTTCAAAGTGGAGGGTTAGTGGAATTAAACTAGTTTGGAATTGAGGCGTAGTTGTTATTATTGTTGTGCGGATGTACTTAGTGGATGTGTCTTGAAAGACGAATTATTAATGTTGAGCGGAATGGATATGGAAGATTTATCTCTATGGACAGCTACTTTGGAATTGAGGCATCATTGGTATCTTTAAAAAGGATGACACCAAGGATATTACGTAGCTATCACACACCAAGGGTGCCAGCATTCATAATATTCTTTTATGAGGAATAGTAACTTGCGAGGGTGCTAGATTCAAGATGAAAATAGTTCTAATCTTCCCCACTTCCTCCTAGTGTTACACTGTTACTGCCTCCTAGGGGAAGGAAGAAAAGCAGGGGCTTCCTTCCAGGAGCAGAGATGGTCAAACTCTTGGCGGGCTGCCAAGTTTCGCCTACGCAACAATTTCACAAGATCGAACTTTTTTTGTTCAGCATTGTTGTTATTGTTGTTGTTTAGCTGTAGTTATGTGATGTATGTTGGGTAATGTTAGTCATTGCTTGCTTGATTGCAAACTCTTGGCGGGCTGCCAAGTTTCGCCTACACAACAGTTTCACAAGATCGAACTTTTTTTGTTAAGCATTGTTGTTATTGTTGTTGTTGTTTAGCTGTAGTTATGTGATGTATGTTGGGTAATGTTAATCATTGCTTGCTTGATTGCAGGTTTTAGCTTTAAGAAGACCTTTCATCCACAAAATTCTAGATTACGAGGATGAGTGCTTCGCTTTGCTTATGCTAGTTCTTGAAACGCATAGCTTACGAACTACAGGTATGCGTGTTTATCTATCCAGATACTCTGTGGTACCAAACAGAATGACCAGTTTGGAGTACGAGACTCAAATTCTCTAATTTTTGTCTTGATTTAGACATTATTCTTAATATTGTTTGTATAATTTTTTTTTTTTTACATATGTAGGAACTATATACAAATACTACACATTTTTTATGTTTAAAACATATTTTTAAAAATATATGACAAAATTTTGACTCCCCAAGGGGTAATGCTGAGTATTTGTAATTCGTATATGACTATGCATTTTCTTTTTCATCCAGTCGTGTGTGAAATGCTCTGGTACGATTGCAGTCTCTGGTCAAATGGTAGAACTAATTATTTGCTTTAGCTTTAACATTTATTACTTTTTACTTGTCCTCAGATGGGTCTTTTGCTGAATCTTTATATGGCCTGCGAAGAAGGGCAGTTAAGATAAAAGTTAAGGGTGATAACAAAGGTTCAGATGTGGGAGAGGAAATTAATCACACTGGTCTGGAGAAGCGCCAAAAAGTTCTTTCAGTTGTGTTTCTGGTAATTTGTTGCACTTGATAACTCACTTATATCGTAACATAAATTTCTCATATTCTGATTGATCTCGTGGAGCAAAATCACCGTTATCTTGCTGTACTAAACTTTGATTATTCTTGTTGAAACACTTTTTCATTTATAAATGTTATTGATAACGAAAAAGGGAAATCTTGTACAAATGCTGTTTGCAAAAAAAGAAAGTCTAACACAGACATGTCGATGAAAAGCAGTCGATCATCTACTCATGTAGGGATTTCATGTGTGCTCCAGAATCACATAAAAAAGAAAGTTCCAAGAATCTATTAGGAGAGTTCTCAGTCCCCTGAAAACCTTTCTGTTCCTTTCTTTCCAAGCTGTCCACACAAGCACCAACGGTGCCAACTCTCATGTCGATTACCCCTCCCATATTCTGTCTGATCCTCCAATTCAGCAACAAAGGCCTCCAACTCAGCATCAGGGGTTTATCGGTGACAGGCGTCACCCCTTCCACCCCAAGCGAGTTCAGTCCACAATTGAAAGGCAGTTGGTAGTGAATAAGTGATTTACACCCTCCTCTGTGTTCAATTCTTTCTTCTTTCTCAGGATTTCTGCTGAAGAATTTCTCCCCGCACCAAAAGGCCACTTCAACCGTTGCATTCGAGTCCACTTGAAGAATGTGGAAATAGCGTATTCTGCTATGCCTTCTGTAAAAGATACAACAGTGAATAAACTCCTGTATTTTCCTTTCCATCTCTATAATCATGAAGGCCAGAAATATCTGCATATCTGAAAAATAAGAGTATGCATATCTCCCTGGCTGTAAGACCTTAGATTTGAATACTAGGTTGAATTTTCCGTGCTCCCTGTATATTTCTGCAGTACTTGCTGATTTTTTAATAGAAACATTGAGATGTTCTGAATGTCGCATAGAAGATTGTCTCCATACCATCACCAAGGGTGTGACATAACAATCAATGAAGTGGGTGAAAATCATGAAAACCATAGTTCAAATCCCATTAGAGAAAAAATATTAGGTGATTTTTCCCCATCTATCTTAGTCTTGGTGGGCAAAGTTATCCAATACCTGTACTGGTGGGAGGTAGCAAGTACAGTGAAATAGTCGAGGTGTGTTCATGGATACCATCACTATAGAAAAGAAGGATTCTCCGCACGCCACCTCGTTTGCAGAAACTTACTGCAATCCCCTTTTTTGAAACATCTAATAGGATGGAGGAAAAGCCTAGAATTGTTAGTAGGAATCGGAAGTCTTCTGGCTCTTTTTCTTATTTGCTAACTTCACCCACGAATTTAGCATCTAATATATGTCAATATGTGTAAAGCCATGACTTCAAAAATGATTGCTGTATCAAGTTTTTGCCTTTTAAAATTTACAGCTTTTGATAAATGCAACGACATAATTTGGATGTGTTTTAGGTCATATTGCCATATCTTAGATCAAAATTGCATTCAATCTACAATAAAGAAAGAGAGGTTGTGCTTCAAGCTACTTTATGGGGCCATGAAGGTGAGAGATTTGGTGACACGGACTATTTTGATGGAGCTGGGAACTCCATAGTTTCAACGAGCAGTTCAGATGCAGAAGAATCAGTTAGAGATCGGTTGAGAAAGAAAATTCGAAAGATTGTAGCTGCTTTCTACCCATGGATACATGCTGGAAATGAAGGTAAATAGGGCTTAATCCCTCATTTGTGATTATTCAACCACAACAACAACAACCCAGTATAATCCCACAAGTGGGGTCTTGGGAGGGTACTGTGTACGCAGACCTTACCGTACCCTGTGGGGGTAGAGAGGTTGTTTCTGATAGACCCTCAGCACAAGAAGATGAAAAGAGACAATAAAACTGAAATAGCAACAGAGGCTCATTTGTGATTAAGAATATACTAATTTTTTGTGTGTGTACTGTTCATTCTGTTTCACTTTTTGAAATGAGATGGCGAAGATTTTCCTATTCGTTCTGGTCATTAATCACTCATGTTGCCTCTTATAAAGTATCAAGGTAATGGAGGAATTTCTCTTGTATATCTTCGCAAGAAGTACAAGATATATATACATGTACTTCGAGTCCAAATAAGGAAATACTCAAAAGAAGAATCCTGTAAATCTGCTATCTTTATATGGCCTGTGTACATGGCTAAGAAGTACGTCTAGGTTCATTTTGTAACACCTCTAGATGGTCTTACCACCTGTACAATGTGAAAAGGACCCTAACCTTCATGGTGAAACCTTTGCAATTCCGTCTTTGAATCATTGCACCTTGTATCTTTTTGGGCTTCACGTTTAAAAGCTATGTTGCTCGGATCCTCTAAAAATGACGCCGCACCCGTGTCAGATCCTCCAAAAAATGAATACCTTTTAGAGGATCTAACACACACCCGGCGATATTTTTGAAGGATCTGAGCAACATAGTTCAAAAGTATAAAGTAACTTGTCACCTCTTCAATGGAGATCTTTTAGCAGGTCCTGATACCATCCTTCACTTATTTCTGCCCGATAATCTTGCAGGTTTTTCATTTGCTTACCAGCTACTGTATTTGCTGGATGCAACTGGATTTTACTCTCTAGGACTTCATGCTCTTGGTATTCATGTTTGCCGGGCTACAGGGCAGGAGCTGGTATGTCTGCAGACAGTTTCTTGTTAGTCTCTCTGGTCTGGAAGAAGTTATTAGTTCTGAAAAAGTATGAATTTGTTTAGAGAATTTTGTAGCGCCTGTACTATTTAGTATTCAAATACAAGTAAGATAACTATGAATCAGTAATGATCTCCAAGAACTTTTAGGCACCCTTGCATGAACTTCCGAAAGATTAATGAACTAATAGTACTATGTTAGTTGACTCAATATGTAGGTGACTAATTTTACCGTGTTAGGTCATCTAAATGTGTAACAAGTGACATGAACTATCTGTATGTGAATGATCAATTGGATAGTGTAATTTTCTGATTCTTGGAAGTTTTATTTTGACGATTAGAACGCTGGATAATTCAGTTGAAAATTTTAATTCTGTGCTGGTTTGTTAATGGTTCTCATACTTACCTTATCCAAAAAAGATAAAAACAAAGAGCTTTGAGGTACCCCCTCCTATTACCTTGAATCTGTGGGTATAAGTTCCAATTTAGATCTGTGTCTATCCAATTTAGATCTGTACCAAGAAAAGTTGCAATTTAGATCTGAATCGGTCCAATTTAGTCTATCAACCAATTGATCTTATTTACTGTGTAATTCCTCTTTTACCATGTTGTTATTTAAGATTTTCATTTATGTGATGTCAAGGTAGATGGATACTTCTTCAAGGATTTCTAAAATAAGAAGCCGTGAACGCGAGAGACTACGAGGACCCCCTTGGCTAAAGGTCTGTGTTCATCCCGTGATCTCTTTTCCATGTTTCTGTTGTACTAGATGGGACTATGTATATCTTTCTTGGTATTAGTTTTACTTCTTTATTGAGTCCCCGGTAGTTAAAACAATAGAAAAACAAAAAATGGAAGTGCCCTTCTCTTTGATGTTTTCGTAGTGTCGTGTGAAGTTATCATCACAGTCAATATTCTGAGCTTTAATACTTATAAACCATTAACATTTCAGGCGGTACAAAGTGGTTTACTAAGTTGTGCATATGGAGTTCTTGACTATGCTCAAACTGGCCTGATTGCTGCAGTGTTTTTCTTTAAAGTAAGTGTTCTTTAGCTCAAGTTCTGCAGATTTTCTAAGTAATTCCCTTGGAGAGATTATTTTTCTTCTCACGTTTTGTTATGCTCATGTATCAACGCTATAGCTATATTTCCCTTTATGTTCTTCAATGAACTCAGATGATGGAGTGGTGGTACCAATCAGCAGAAGAAAGGATGTCAGCTCCGACTGTTTATCCACCCCCACCTCCTCCTCCACCTCCAAAGGTGAGTACATTTCCAACTGGCAATTTTGGAACATGTGAAAGATATTTTTGGCAGCCATACTGCTCCAACTTTGACGCCTTGCTTAGCTCAATGGAGATGAAGAATGTTTTTTCTTTGTTTATGATTCATATTGGATGAGCAAATACATTTGATACTTGGTAACAATTAGATGTGCTTTGCTCAGTAAATTGCGATCTGGTGCATGCATTTTGGCTTTTGCAAGTCAACCATAATTTCTGAAGCTTTAATATGTGTTCTGACTTGTCAGTTACATCAATCCATTTAAGCAGTCGACAGGAGCTGGAGCTAACGATGTAATACGAATATGAATTATATGTTACGTGTGTATAAAGAGTATCATTCTCCCTACATATGGTTGCACTAATGCCATTGAAGTTTTTATTTTATGTAAAAGCTCACTTGCTTTGGCATTCTTAAAGAAGTTTGGATAAATTAGGCCAGAGTATTTAAGCCACTTACCAATTGGAAGCGACCAAGATACTTGTAAAAAAATAAAAATTGGAAGCGACCACGATGGTGAAAATTCATGGTTTGTCTAAATCTTCAGCTAGTGAGTTTAGTGTGAGCCTCCTCTGAAAGACAACAACTACTAACCTTTTTCTGTTTTGGTGAAATATGGATCTGGAAAAAGCTTTTAGGTTTTGGTCTTACACTGGTTTTATTATGCATAAGTGAAGTAGTTTTTTCTTGTATTCCCGCAACAATGCTTATGTATAACATTTTTCAATTTAAGCAGGTTGCAAAAGAGGGAATTCCACTACCTTCAGACAGAACGCTATGTCCTTTATGCTCACAAAAGCGTGCAAATCCATCAGTAGTGTCAGTTTCAGGATTTGTCTTCTGCTATTCCTGCATTTTCAGATATGTTTCTCAGGTGAAATTTCAGAGTTAGTTGATACGATGCGCGGAAACTAAATCGCATGATGGCAATGTTAAATTGGCTTCTTTATACTTAGTACTGCAATAATCTCTTGACCTGCTAATTGCAAAAAGAACCCCGGGAAAGAAAACTACAAATACAATTATATAATTTTGTGGAAATATCGTTATATATATTTTTTCTGTTCAGATGCTTTGTTGTTAAGCAGCTATTCCCATGACTATCTAGTATCTACTGCTTTTACTTTTTGGTAGCTGTTAGTAAAATCATGGAGCTGATTCATCTATACTTATCAGTGATTCCTCCTGTTAGCCTTGTAAACTTGGTTACTAACCTATCATTTATCACAGTATAAATTACAGATAGTGTAAGAAAATTTTATACTGCATGTGTATATAACTTAAGTCTGTGTGCAAATATTTTCGGCTTTTGTTAATGTGTGGTGTTTACTTATTTCTTTTTTCTTTAAATATCTTTTCTTTTTGTATATTCATGTTCTGTTTTCCTTTTGTGCAGTATAAGCGCTGCCCTGTGACACTTATGCCTGCAACTGTGGACCAGATAAGAAGACTTTTTGATGATGTTTAATTTCTCTCCAGGATCAGAAGGGATGAATAACCGTGCCGTTACAGAAAACGTTGAGATTATAAGTGGATCTTTTTTCCAAGGCACTAATCCATCACATTGCCTCTACAGTGAATAATCTTGAGTGTATTCTACTTTTGCCATATTGTTGTAGTTCAAAATTTAGAATGCAATTAATTACGGGGAAAAAATATCTCTGTGTTTACCCCAGAATTCTTTGGTTCCCCGTTATCTTTCAGCCCTTCTGTGGCATCTGCAAAAAGTGTTAAAAACATTTGAGTCCCACAATGTAAAGTGGATAGTAAAACTTAAAAGGAAAAAGGAGAAAACAGAGAAATTGTAAAAACAGAATAACATACATGATATAATTAGGACATGTAATTTGTAAGTAAGAAAGAATTTGTGACTCTACATAGATGAGGAAATGACGAAAGTTACAGTTACTAGTCATTAAATTAAGTACAAAACAAAATAGTCTTGTTGGATCAAAATTGATTTGACCAGTTGAAGAAACAAATATAAAAAGTACTCCCTTCGTTAAACGGCTATTTTGTATCTACTGAAGGATCAGACAACAATCAAGAGATCGCAAGGATTAAGACCACATTTAAAGAAACAAGACCAAATACCTGGACGTTCCTTAAACTTGACCTCAATTTCTATTTTAACCCTTAAACTCAACCTAGTACCTATTGAAAACTCTAACTCAAATAAAGGTGTACCTATTAAACACAGATGATGATATGGTATATTTCTGTGACATGCACCTAAGTTAGAAGCGTGAAATGATCATTTCTTTTCCTTTTTTTGTTTCAAAACATTTCTTTTCCCCCACACATATAACGACCACCCACGTTGGAGAAGAAAAGAAAGAAACAGCCACTCATATCCACCGTGTAACCACCCGATCACCACCACTCTTCATCCACTACCGCCACTATTCACCGTCTTTCCCCAAAGATCAGTTGCAAGCCTACAACTATGTGAGATCCGATTAAATAAAACCCACTGTCTTCTTCCTCACCACCTATCTATCGTCGCTCACCATGGTTCAAACATAAGATTTCAAAGCTTAAAATGCTAGAATCTGAAATTTTTCAAAATTGCCTGCTTTATCCCAGAAATCAGAGGCAAAACTACCACAATATTAAAGAACAAAGAGAGAAACCCAGCAGAGAAACCCCATAATTCTGTCTACTCAAAAATCAAAATGGATGATTCAACTCAAAATTAAACAATTTCAAAAGTGTTCAAGCTTAATTTCGTGAATCACAACATGCCCGACGAAATCAAAATAAAACTTGGAAGCAGTCAAACGTTAATCGACTTGTTGTGGCGTCACAGTGGTGGGTAGCATGTTGTGGATTTTCAAATTATTCTTGTAGGCCATGAAATTGGGTAGACATTTAAGATAGATTGCAGAAGAATTTTAAAACCTGTGGAATAATAAGTGAAGTGGAATGTGAAGTATTTGAGATAATATTTCTTTTAGTGATGGTGTGTATGTGGGTG